CGCGGATTATTGTTTTCCTTTCGCGGACCCATCGCGGATCTTTCGAGGACACTCTATTTCACATGTTAAAACCGTTTTGTATAATCCCACACACAAGGACCTTTAGATCAATGCTCATATACATGTACACATATGTGGGCAGCCCATGCATCTGACGAACAAAATAATATACAAAAATGCATATATGCTCAGATACGGAGGTGTGTATGTGTGGGTGTGTGTGTGTGTGCGCGTGCGAGCGTGTGTAAGTGTAGGTATGCAAGTACACACACGCACACACACAAACACACACACACAGAGATTCATATTTGTATTTCATGTGGTACAAACTTACAACTCGGCTATTTATCAAGCAGATGCATATATATATATATAGTAACATTGAGAGAGAGAGAGAGAGAGAGGGAGAGGGAGGGAGAGAGAGAGACAGAGATATCTATTTACATGGGGAGCACACCGGCCGCCTGCAAGAACGAGGAAGAACGGCTCCCAGCCTTGGCTATGTTTGCTTTGAGAGTTCCCCCCCCGGCCCAAGACAAAAGAAAAGGACTGGTGTTTATGGCTTTTTTGGTAGGGCTTAGGGTAAATTTTCTAGAACCGTAAAGGATATAACTTCTGAGCTCAGGAAGCTATTTTGGATAATGAAGGTGTAAATCCTTCATTGAGGAGCTCATTGTACGATTACACAGGTTAACTGTTGCATTAAACGGCACACTTTACATGATGAAAGGATGGCTCTTCAGGGACCCTTTATGATCCGATTGTTTGTGCGATTTACGGTAGATTCCTGAACTCCGGGGTGTTGGAGCCTCCGCGTTACCATCCCGTCTGTACTCGTGCTGCCAGCCTGTGCAGAAGACCCACGGCATGCTTTCACCCAATAACCGGTTGAAAAACACCATCCAGAAAGCATGTGCATGGCTGTGCTGCTAAAGTGCTATGGAAGAAGTTTTGGAGCATCTCGAAGATCAACGGCGCCACGATGCCCCCAACGCGACCGGCTGCTTGGCAGGCCGCCTCAAAGAACAACGGATCCGACTGTATGGAGTTCCAAACCCGAAACCCTAAAGGTTTAGGGTTTAGGGCTGATGTGCCACTGCCGAGAACCAACGCACACGTGATGCCATGTTAAGCAACAGCGAGCTTCGCCACTGTGCCCGATAACGATCGCTAAACCATCCATTTCTAGCCTCTGCACATGCTTCTTAGAAAGGGTGCAGATGGGATGTTGGAGAGACATGTCGAAACGGATACAGATACCGCAATGCCTGAGCTGGATCGTACAAACCTCCGTGAGCCGGGCCACAACCCCGGTGGTGCGAGCAGCGCATGGAAATGCTGTCGATGCCAAGGTGTAAGCAGCTACCTCATTTGGGGTTTGTCAACCACCCGACTGTGCTCTGCAGGAGGGTCGTGACTAATGCACTCCATTGCCCGTGCGGTGGCGTGGGCTGGGGATCACAGCATGTTGCGTTAAAAGAACGTGAATATTTGCAGTTCAGCTGCGAACGTGATACTGATGGTTGTTTTGATGCCTGGCCCCCGTCCCTCCCGGCAATGCATATCGAAGCTCCGGCCGTGTCCGGCCTAGATAGCCGGCTTGAAGCAAGAGACCTGTTTTCTGCAGCGGCTGCTCGGCAGCATGGCGTCATGCAGGTACACAGCGTTTAAATGGAAGCCAAGTCTCTAAAAAGAATGCCTTCGCCGTTGGCTCCAATGACCAAAGCCAAGAGAAAGAGCGAGGATAGCGACGAGCACCAGAGCATAACGGTCTGCCAGCGGTGAATTTTTGTAAGCAGGGACGGAGTTTACGGGTGTCGGAGCTACCGAGCTTGTCGAAGACTTCTAGTATTCTAGTGAAACTAATAGCGCCTCGGTGCATTATGTAGTTAAAGCCAACCCGTGCCCCCCAAAGACTCTTCTGGCTGTCTGTTTGCTCGAGCTTGCGGCGTTTGAATGTGGGGCTGCTTGCTAGCAGCCTTTCTACACTGCTTGGATTCTGACATCCGCGCAGGCAACTAGGCGCAGTAAAGTGTGCGATTCCACTGCATAATCTCAGCACATGGTGACTCTGCGTTGGGAGTCTCCCCCGCCCATTAACAGTCAAATACTACTTTCCCTATATGTACCACCCCAGAAAAAGCACAACTACTTGGAGGCCTTTGGAGTTTCTAGTTTTGGGGGGCCCCAACTGTTCAGCAACTTTTGGAGTTTGGGAATTGCTAGGCAGGCCCATCACTCCCAGCCACACCCAACCCAACCAACCCAACCAACCCACCAC